GCTCATCAAGCCAAATCCTGTGCCGAGTTCCACAGTGTTAAGCAGACAGAGCACGTTAGTCTCTCTGGCCCCTGAGTGAGATGATGGTCTATCATAGCAATCAGACCGAGCAATGCTGGTCCCAGTTTCTACAGCTGGGTGGACTGGAGGCACTGCGGTACAATACCTCACTTGCAGTACAGCAGGGTCCATGGTGGTGCATAGCATTAACCCATAGTTAATGAGACCAGAAAGTGACTCAGTTCTCTGTGTTGGTCCCATTGAGACAAACTGAGCCAGTGATATACTGTATTTGAGATGGTTTTCCTTGTTTAAGTGTGCACTGCTCAGGGCAAAAAATGTTTCAGTGGGGAAGCATTAACTGCAAATTATGCAAAGATTTTGAATCTGTTGTTTAACCAGATATGTCAATTGCAAACAAACGATTATTTCCAGCGAAGACCTGAGAGGGGCCCTTTTATATATCAGGATATGAACTGGAGTAATCGGAGCGAAGGACTTTACTCAAGCAGCACAGCAACATTGGCCCGGGGATCTGAGCCAGCAGCTGTCTGGGAAACATGCCAGAACCACTGAGCCACAGTTCTGTGCTTTCTGCAGGGGGCGCTGTTGTTTTTTTGTGTGTATTTCAACATCAGGGACTGGTGAGTTTGGTGGGTATTATCACTGCCCACTATTGCCCCCAACAGAAACACACAGAGAAGAACCTGCAATCTTGGATTCCCTCCATGGTGAGGTCCATGCCTGCAGGTTCTCCAGCCTCCTCAGTGTCCTGGTGTCCTGTCCAGGGTGCATCCTGGACCCTGTCTTGCGCCCATGCCTTCCCAGGACAGGCTCTGGCTGCAGCTCCCCTCACAGCCCTGTACTGGATAAGCGGATTAGGAAATGGATTGATGGATGTTGATCCAGTGATCAGATGAGGTTTAAGGCAGAATGAAGATCAGGCTGCCAGACACTTGTGAGGGAAACAGAGAAGTGATGACTCATGCAGTCTTACCCTGCTAAGTTGGATAATGATTATAATCTCCTTGCTTTTGATCTACAAAAGTCAAAACTGAATCCGTCAAAAGGCTTGATTGTTTGGCTTGAGTTTAGTTATCCCCTCCTTGTCCTCCTCTCCCCAGCTCTTTGTCACTGTTCATTTGGGAAGACATGGACATGCTGCTGCTGTTGAGGTACAGTGTTTGTTTTTTATTTCACCCTGTGTTGTCTTGATCAGTTCTTTGTATTTCCTCCTGACCTCAATACTCTCTTGAAGATGCAGCTGAAGAACAGCAGTGCCCTTTCTTTTTTTTGTAATCAACATTTTTATTGGATTTTCAGACGGATTAAAAAACAAATAAAAACAAACATCAACACTACAATCAACATTACAGTACCAATAAAGCTATACATTTTTATATCAACCTAATGTAATACAAGTTTAATACACGTTAATATAGATTACACTGTATGTGTATTTACTGTTTTAAGAAATAAGCTTATTTCTAACAGTTATGGAAACCCCTTCTCCAGATTGGGTCATTTTAAGAATTTCCTAGCTGTTGTACAACTTAAGTTCACAATATACTGATATGTGAGTATTCAGTGTTTATCTGGCACATTGTCTGGGCATAACCATAGTTGTAGAATTTTGTTAACTGCTGTGAAGCCAACAAAAAGCAGTCCTTTATGAATTAAAACACAAATTAACCAAATAATGGTCATTTAACAAGCAAAGACAAGGATCTGGTTTGAAATGTGTATCAGTTAGTTTACCTAACTTAGCACATACAGAGCCTTTTGCTTGCGGTTTGTACATTAAAAGCCAGAAAAATAAGTGTTCCTTTTTCTGATTGTTCATTCAGCCCAGGTCCATGTGGTTCACCCAGTGTGAAATATGCTGCATGGCAGCTCTGTAAGTGGAAAAGGTTTGTTTTTCAAAGACACAAACCAGCACAAACGGATGTGGTGGGTTTCATCGTTAGTGCTGCTATTAGGCTGGGGGGTTCACACTTCACAGAGGTCAGCAAGGCCAGAATTAACTTGGAGCTGACAAGTACTACTGTGTGCATATGATCTGATTGTTCACGGACTGCACTTCAGACAAACAGTTACTATTGTTTAACTCAATAAATGCTTCATCCAGAAAAGTAGAATCTTTATGATAGGTGATAGACAGAACTGTACAGGAATGTTTTTGTTGTTGTGTATTTTTTGTTCCAGTTTGGGCTTTTCAGAGAAAGGTTTTATGTGCGTTCTGAAATGTGAACATTCACTCCAGCAGCCTTTTAAAAACTCATTACTTCACTGCAGGATGGAAGCATAATTGCTCTTTCTGCGCTCTTTTTAGAGAAAGGGAATTAATGGTTTATCGGATTAGAATTGGGAATCAATCACAGAAATGTTCTGAGTGAGGGAACTGCCCTTCTCCCAGGAACCTGCTTCAGTGAATTTTCTGTTTGTACAATGTGATAGCCAGAAATGTTTTTTCAATTATGGTAATTCTTCTCATTGACATAAGCCATGTAGCAAATGGAACAAATTTGGATAATACATCAAAGGCAACAGCTATTTTAAGAGGCCGATGACTGTTTTATGGTGTGCAGGAGCTCTTACGTAACCAGAATTAAATGATTTCATTCTTATGCATCTCTCGTTTAACTGCAGACTAACTGCAGTGTATTCTATAGACCACATCCAGCCAGCCATTTTCCAACTGCTCCATCCCATTCAGGGTCGCCAGGGAGCTGGTGTCTATCCCAGCAAGCAGTGGGCGCAAGGCAGGGTCCATACAGACACAGACACACACACTTACACCAGGACCAGTTTCCCAGAAGACAGTTAACCTACCAGCATGTCTTTGGACTGTGGGAAGAAACCCACTCAAACACAGGGAAAACATACTGAATCTATAACAGACAGGACCCCAGGTCCGGTATTCAGCTCAGGGCTCCAGTGCTGCAAGGCAGCAATGCTGGGCACTGTGCCTCTGTGCCAAACACTACCATCTTTTATTATTGTTGTTCTAGTTATACTTGCTTTCATCTGACCAATGTATTTTGCCCATCACTGCAAGCTCTTCTGTTAATATGGTAAACTGCAAGAGAAAGATTAACACAGTCTATAGCTACATCTTTCAGAAGAGTTTCACAAGGGAGGGGAGACAGACACACCACCTAGCCTGTTTGATAGTAGTAGGTAGTTACTTAAAGAAGCAAGTAAAGGTTTATTCCGTGTTTTTGGAGGCTTAGATGTGTCTCAAACATAATTCTTATTTAAATATCAGCAACGTGTAATCACGTTGTTTAGCAGACCACTGTTAAGAAATTAGGAAAATGTTATGAAATTATAAATAATTCCGAGCTATGCGTTTGCTAAAAATAACTCAAATTAGAATGTTAAATCTAATTACTTTTCTCCATTAAAGGCATGTATCTTTTTTAAATCTTGAAATTCTTTCCGGTTTTGAATGCGCTCTTTCATAAGAAATGAGCCCCAGGATAACAGTAGTAATGTGACCGGAGATATAATTGATCCAAGTCCTTTAAAAATCGAGTCTGTTTAGTTTGTGCAGGGAAAGTGGTGTAAGCAACGACCCCGCAGTACTTAAAAACATTGTTCTGCTCAAGTTGGAACTGTAATTTAAATTCTAACGATTAAGACAGACGGTAGCTAATTTTCAAAGTATTGCCATCGTGCTGCTCTAGAAAGAATGTACAGTATTATCCTAGAAGTGTTCCTAGACATCTCAGACATCGTGCTCTTTTGAGCATTTCGAAATGCGGTTCGATTAGTGACCCGCCCTTTCACCCAACACCGAAAACCCCTTCTGTTTTTTTGATGGCACGACACGTGAAGGTCGACCACAAAATAATGTTAGTGTCTCACTTCTCGATTTCAAAGAACGTTCTGTTCGGTTCGGTTCGGTTCGGTTTGTGTAATTGCGATACCAATACAACAGCACTGTTTTTTTAAATATAAAGGAATATGTTCTTGATTGTTTTTCAATTTCTTCATTTGAAGGCATCCTTTCTTAACTTCCATAGTCTTTAAACTACTAATTTGCACAGGCTGCTGATTAAATCAGTAACCAGCTTTGAGCAGTTTGTTACAGATCGTTAACACGTTAGATTGGTAGTCAGTACAGTTTAGTTTTATACTTTAGTCAAGACAAGCCCGTATTTTACAATTTGGTAACTGCAAATGTTCAAATATAATACATACTAAAGATTACTCCATATTTTTTTCTTAATTAAATTCATAGAGGACTAATGTATTATCAGACTCAACGTGGAAATGAAACAGTAATATCTATTTAGTAAATGTTCAATTTACACATTTATTTTAGTATCAGGGCTGAACACTGAACGCGTCATGTTTAACAAAGTATCAATCATTACATTGTAAGAACATTTATTCAAAATTTGCTACCGCAATCTTTACAATTAAAGGTTGTGAAAATGTTTTAATGTTTTAAGTTCTGGTTCTGCGCTCATTTGGCTGTTTAATTTGGCTAATTTGGCTGTGAACGATCAGATGTGTTTCTCACTGCTGTAGCTCTCGCAGGTCAAAGCGCACGACACGACACACGGCGTGTTCACCTGTTGTTACGCGTCTGTCTGACTTTATTTTTAGGCGGGTTAAGTAGCTTTAAAACCAACCAGTTTTAAACCAGTTAAAACCAAAATAATTAGTTTACACAAAAAGGTAACTGTCAACACATGCCTAGTAGCTCCAATATTGCGACCGCGACACGAGTCCGAGTGGCTCATTCAGTGTTTGTATTAATAAAAAATAACTTTAACAATTTTCGGAATTAAGAAAAATATTAACTCCGCTATGTTCATATTTCAGTGCGATTTTGTGTCTCAAACAGCGAGTCCACCTTATCAGTCAATTGCGCAATGAAATCAGTAATTCCTGTAATAAGTAATGATGTTCGCTGCCATCAAGACTGAAACGGTTTTTAATCTTTTAATGATCCTTGCCCAGAGCGCCACAAAGCGCCGAGTCTTAGTGTGACATTTATTTTCGCAAACGACGACGCAGATGTTAGCCATACGAGTTTATTGCCATACGGGACCTCAGCATTGAACTGAGCTGACTTGGCTTCATGAAAATGACAGTTTTTGGAGGGTTTGTCATGTGCTTGCTCATCACTGGGATAGGAGGAGCCTGAGCAAGACCCCGACCTTTAAAGAAGAGCGAATTGTCTCTTTTTTTTCAGATATATTATATTTAAAGATGCTTCGATTGTCCTTTTTGTAACGATCTTCACCAGTTAAAGATCTCGTGCGAGCTGGGACGACAGTTCGCGAGTCAATCCGCCTGTATCGGCTCTGACAAGAAAGCGGCAGCCTTAAGAAGGGAATTCCTAGCAGACACAACATTCTTCATTTTTTAATATTTAGATTAATACCAAGGGATGAGATGCTGACAGGCACCCGGGACTTCGGGAACGGTATATATTCACTCCTGAGTTTAAAGGGAAATTAAATATATTTTTTCAATCTACATGTGCAAATAAAATCCGGGATCTCATTAATTACCTCAAAAGTCTAAAAGAAAAGGCAACGTTTTTGACCTGCGGGATATCTGCTGTTCCTATTTCCTGGGACTGGAGGAACGCATCTCTGATGTGCACTCAAGCACCTGAGCGACGAGACCCAGCTGAGGTGAGTTCGCCCGGATTCCTGTTTCTGCTCCCGAGCAGCGAATTGCCTGCAAGCCACCCAGAGCTACCGAAACAGCAACACGAGAGCTAAGAGGTAAAAACGAATGTATATTAAATTTGTATAACCTTCCTTTTATTGTACTTCTTGCGGTTTTGTAGTGCTTTATGTGCGTTAGGTGTTGTTATATCTTGTTCTGTAAGGTGCACTTTTTTTCCTGAAAGTAAAGATTTAAAATACATTTAAAATAAAGTGACGGATTGGATACTTGTAATGCACACAGACCAGTATTAGCAAAACTTCGCACCGATATCAATATCAAATACTAAAGACGATGAGGGTTTGAGATGAAATGACACGCCCTCTAAATGGAGGCTTTCATTCATGTATATTTGTTTTTAGTGCAAGGCCATAGAGAGCAACTCAGACTGACAGCCCTGCTTCCATCGAGCACGTCCACACTGTTTCTTGCGGCTGAGCCAAAGGACATGAACGTTACAGCCTTCAATCCTCTCATCATGAAACACCTTGAGGTCAGCCCCCTGGATTCCACGCACTGGGAGAACACCTCTAACGTCTCCCTGGGCAGCCCCAACTCCACCGGCTGCGAGCAGATCACAATCCCCCACGAGATCTTTCTGACTCTGGGCTTAATTAGCCTGGTGGAGAACATTTTGGTGGTGCTGGCCATAATCAAGAACAGGAACCTGCACTCGCCCATGTACTATTTCATCTGCTGCCTGGCCGTCTCCGACATGCTGGTGAGCGTCAGCAATGTGGTGGAAACCATGTTCATGCTGCTGATCGAGCAGGGGGTGCTGGTGGTGACCCCGGACATGATGAAGCAGCTGGACAACGTGATCGACATCATGATCTGCAGCTCGGTGGTGTCCTCTCTCTCCTTCCTCAGCGCCATTGCGGCGGACCGCTACATCACCATCTTCTACGCTCTCCGCTACCACAATATCATGACCACCCAGCGCGCAGTGGCCATCATTGTGGTCATCTGGGTGGCCAGCACCATCTCCAGCACGCTCTTCATCGTCTACTACAACTACACAGCCGTCATCATCTGCCTCATCACCATCTTCTGCACCATGCTGGTGTTCACCGCGGTGCTGTACCTCCACATGTTCATCCTGGCTCACATCCACTCCAAGCGCATCACCACCTACTACAAGAACCGCCGCCAGCACCAGGCCACCAGCATGAAGGGGGCCATCACTCTGACCATCCTGCTGGGGGTCTTCGTCATCTGCTGGAGCCCGTTCTTCCTCCATCTCATTCTCATCCTCACCTGCCCCAAGAGCCCCTACTGCGCCTGTTTCTTCAGTCACTTCAACCTCTTCCTCATCCTCATCATCTGCAACTCCCTCATCGACCCCATCATCTACGCCTACAGGAGCCAGGAGCTGCGCAGGACTCTGAAGGAGCTCGTGTTCTGCTCCTGGTGGTTCACCATGTAGGTGGTCCTCCACAGAGACAGGGGGAAGGAAGAAGGAAAAAAGCAAACAAAATGAACTCTTTTTGGAGCAGCTGGCATGAGGAAGGGCTACAGTGTGACTCTGTTTGCTCTGTTTGGATTTTGCGTAGTAACTCTTTTCCCCTTTCCTTCATTGCAGTCTGCTGAAGCATCAGTGAAAGTCATGATGTAACGGTGAAGAAGTGGGTTCTTAAGAGCACCAGAAGTCAAAATATCCAGCCCTTTTAATGTTGAATAGAAAAAACAACATAAATTGCGTCTAAGGTTTGTAAAGTTTTGTTATAAAGTAAAGTAAAATCAAACAATCAAATAACTATATTTTGGCGCCTTTGAAACTTTTTTTTTACATACTGTAACTGGTGACTTCTTACTGGCTGAATGTACTGAAATGTTATTTTTTCAGACTGAAGGGGAAGGCTAAGGAGCTGATATTTCTAAAACAATCATGCACGTCTTTAAAATTGTAAGTCTGAAAAATAAAAATGAAAAACTGATCTACTCTTCTAAAAGCAAACCATTCTACCACGTGAATTGGAATACAATTCTCTAAAATAAGGGATATCAATAAAGCAACAGTTAGCCTTCTCTTTACAGTTTGGCTAAAATTTATAATGCATGTGTATATACATATCTGAATCTAGGAAGATACGTCTTCTTGCACTGTAAAATAAAGCCTTTACAACAGACTGTAAACTGTTCATGGTTTATTTTTTAATTTTTCACCTAATATGCCTTATGGGGAAAACGCGCAATACCAAACTTAAAATCAAAGGGCTTATAGATACGGCCCTGAGAGTTGGCTTTTACCAAAAAGTGTGTTACGAACACCTACATTTTTTTTCACAAGTAGAGACAACAGTCTTTATGTAAAATATAATGAATGCTAATAGGCTACAGTAATCTACTTCAGTACTTTCTTAACGAAGGCTAATGGTACCAAAAGATGATTGGTAGGATTTTATTTTAGCCCTAAAACGTATAACGCTGTATGAGCACGAGGTGATTTAAAACTTGAGTGGATTTAAATCTTTTAACATTTAAAGTGAACAGGATAACGCAGTTCTTCTATTTCGAAGAATAAGAATACCGTAAGGACATGGGATGTTTGTAGGGTAGGCATTGTCTGGGGAGAATCGTTCATATTAAAGCATTCGGGCAGTTCGCTGTAAGGTAGGAGTACTGAGCAAGTTGTTTGAAGTTGAGCAAGAAAAAATATAATTTCTTCTGAATGTTTAGTTACTCTTTATCTTATCAATGTGAATGATATAATTGAGAATGTTGTTACACTTATTGTATTTTAAAAAAGAAAATGATTCTAAAACTTTTTTATGTTTAGAAAAACATAAAAAGTGTAGTTAAAAATTATAGTAGACTACTAATTTAACAATTCAGTGCTGAATGGGTGTAATATTTGATAGTGAAACAGATATCACCACGAAGATTAACAAAAGCATTAAACGTTAATTTTTCATAGAATTAAAAGCTCATTTAATGTGCCATAGTTATAAACTTACAGAACTTCAGATATGTAATTCACTGTTTATATTAACTGGTGAAAATTTCCAGAAAAGGAGTATACTAAAGTATAATATATATATATATGCATGTGTGTATAATGTAATAACTTTAATTTGCAGGTAAAGTACTGGTGTAAAAAACCATCACATGAGGTGCATAAACTGTAAGTGGATCACTTGATTCTGCAATGTTGTATTATTTACTTGCATTAGTTTAATAATAATTATGAAGAAAAAATCATTCCATTCATGTTATACCCTTGATAAAGTGGTGTATATTGATGCCTTTGTGTGTCTGACTTTGTGAATTCAACTCAATTTGTTGAGAGCTGACTGCGTACAGTTACCTCTCTGACTAATGAGGCGATTTAGGGCTTATTCAACTGTCAAAATGAAATCAGGAATGTCTATAATGAAAGATCGGATAATTAAAATGACAAAATTAAAATACTTTTTTTAAAAACTTTTTTTCCCTTAAATACGCATGTAAAATAGAATACTTTGGACACTCGGGATATATAAAGATTCGATTCTCAGAAATTGCATTAAATGCAAAAAAAAACCCAATAAAGACTGCGCTATTCTGTATAAACTGCTTGGTGGGTTTGTTAAATATTATTTTACATTTTCTTTTCTGTTCATAGCACTCAAGTCACGTCAGCCAGCATCGCCCCAGGCGCGCCTGGAAGGATCGCTACAGCTCCTGCACAATCTTAAACTCAGTCGATACTTGAGAATGAGAGAGCTTAATTAGTTCGTCAAATAGCGCAATACAACGGCTCGTATTTCGATTCATTTTTAAATGTCTATAAAAGTTAATAGTGCAGCACTAAATCCTCGCTTTGCTTGCATTTAAATGCATCGCACACACAGACACATACTGTACATCCACAAATCCACATGTCCCTTGTCTTTGGAAAAGCCAAGCTGAAATGTTAACCCAGCCGCTCTAGTTGAAAGCTCCATAACTGAATGCGTTGCTCTTGTGCCATTATCTCAAAAATAATTTCAAATCATTTGATTAAAACCTCTTTTTAAAAAACTTAAAAATCACCATCTAAACCATTATTCATTTTAAATATTGAGGATTTCAATGATTCATACCTACAGTAAACCTTGGAAACAAGGAGAAAACGCACTCCTGCATCCTCTAACACATTTGAAATTCAAATTTAATTTAATCGTGTGCAATTATCATTTGTTTTAATGGGTCGTTCACATTCATAAGGTGTTGTCTTTGCCACGCTGAATCCACTCTTTTTGTAAAATTACCTTTTGTAAATTAAACGCATTTCATTCTCAGGGCAGAGGCCGTTCTGAAATCAAAGCTGTTGTTAACAGGCAATTAATGTTGTAGCTTTTTTCTCGCGATCATGTGGCTATCAGAGCAACTAAAATAGCACGCGATATTTGTATCCCAGCCTTTATAACAGCGTGACGGCGAAAATGTCCAGATCGTTGTTTTTTGTGCAAGCCCATACGTGATCATGAAACTGATGAAAAAGGAAGGCGTAGAAAAATTGAAAACACAAATGTGCTATACAAGAGATTCAAAGTTAATTTTAAAGCTCTTGGATTACTTCTGTTAAAGTATTTTTCTCTTAACACCACGCAATTTATTGGACGTTATAATATGTCATTTTGCGCGTTTCAGGTGATTTTCCCTGTCTCTGCAGATGTTTTCAAAGCACAAGACGCTCCCCCTGTATTGAAATCTTGTGGCTGAAGCAAGTTGTGTCTTAAGAAGAGAGAGACTCCTTGAATCGTCAGTGGCCTTTCAGGTGGAACTGAGGGTCTTCAAAGGTGCAGGAAACGATAGCAAAACGAGGAACTTCGGCGCATTCATTTCTCAAATTGAGATTTATAACCTCTTTATATAAGACCGTGACGCGCTGTCCCGAAAACCAGCACACACGCCTCTTTATTAAAATACGAAATTGTGTTATGCTCATAAATTCAACAATGATCAGAAGAAAACCTAGACGATCTCCGGGTCGCTGGGTTCCTGTCTATGTTAATGTGTGAAAAAACGATTTGCGAGCTGAAGAGATTCTCTCAAGGAAGATATATGCAACCCTTAGCCGGTCACTTCACTAAATGGTCAGAAGATTAAAACACGAAAAATAAATGTGCTTTTTTGTCCAAAAACAACAACAACAACAACAACAACAGTAACAAAACACGTCTCAACACCAGAAAACTACATAAATAAAGCAAAATGTTTCTTTATTACTATAAAGTGTCAGGTATTTTTAGACAAATAAAGACGGATTTGCAGCTGAAGAGACTTATCAGACAGAATCAAAGCAGGAGTTCTTTTTGCACGCAGTCGTAAGTAAAATCATGCGCATCTCACTAAGAAGTACTCCTCGCAGCTCACACACACAAGCACTTCATTTTCAGGGCTTTGTTTTTTTCCATTCGCCTGTTGCACTACAAGTAGGATATAAATATGTTATCCATTTAGTTCCTTTGCGATGAAATGATTCCAGGTGTAATTTTTAAAAGTTCAACAATTGTAAGGACAGGTGCATTGACCATTCTGGATGGTAAACGTGAGCCTTTTCATAAAAGCCCTGGTTTCGGATAGAAGATGACCTTTCAGCATGTTCTAGAGCCTCCTGTAGGGGCCAAGCACGTTGTTCCGTCCAAGAACGGCAGCCTTTTGACTCTAAAGGCTGCACAACTGCAATGACACTGAATTAAAATGGAAGTTATGAATTGAAGTTCGGGGGAGGGATAACACTGACAAATCAATCTCGCACAGCTGTTCCTAATCACCATCATTGCTCAAACGGCTCCCTTCGCCTCCGTCCCCAGCCTCGTCTCCATCTCGCAGCTACCCCTGGGTCTCTGCTGACTGAGTCGGGTTCAAGCTTCCTCGTCCTGTGGCCAGGAGGCTACACATTTAACAAGCAGTTTAAGCCAAAATGTTCTCAACTTCGGCATTCAGTTCCTGAGTGTTGTTGTCCCTAGTGAAAAGATTTTGTTGTGCCCCTTTTCTCTTCGATTGGTTCGTTCTCACCGTTGGGATTGAAAGTTTTTCTGAGCTGATGAGCTGACTAGACTCTTTGTCAGCTGCTGCCTGCTGTTGGTGGACAGGCTGCCTCTCATGCAAGCTCAAGGACAGAACAGCCTTTCTCTAAAATCGCCCTGATTCCGTCACGAATCGCACTCGCGCGTGTAAGCGCTCCCGCATTCCCACGAGCTGTTCTCTCCCCAAACGTTCACGCACCAATTTCTCAGCACTATTTAAACCCTCTCTAGCCTTCCTTTCCTTGCTCAGGATTGAGGTCCGTATTTGTAAGGCCCCAACCCGCATTGACTAGTAATTATAGTCCCGGCATTTTGACCCTACGCTCGCCTTCGCCTGTTTGTACCCTGTCACGGGGTGGTGTCCTGTCCAAGTGGATCCCGTCCTGCGCTTGTGGCTTGTCAGGATAGGCTCTCGTTCCTCCGCAACCTTGAGTGGGATGAAGATGTTAGAAAATGGATGGATGGACTATACTGTACTATATATTGATTTCCCTTTGTTTTCTTAATAAAAGT